ACAAGTGCCACATGCATGGCCAGAGGAAAATCCTTGTGATTTGAGGTTTATTGTCCTTCCGCACCTCAGTTCTGTGGGGAAGTGCCAAAAGCCAGAGTGCTGAACGTGAAACACCCTAAGACATTTAAAACTGGCTTGCCTGGCTGTCAGTCTCCAACAACTCACGGTTATCCAGGATTAAGGTGATAGATTCTGCTGCGGCCCTCGAACAGCTCCCAGCCAAGTTATGGCGAGTGCATCGGTGCTGCTGCTGCTGCAGGAGACTGTGGGGCGATGTTACAGTCCAGCCTTCTTCGTGTGGGAAGCAGATTTCAATATTTTTCTATGAGCTGTGGAAGTTGTAGAATGTATCAAGCTAGTATCAGCCCTGCTGGACCTATTAGTTGTCTTATTGTGTGAAGATTATGTGTAATTGCTAAGGTTTATTTTTATTGAATTAAGTTTGCAGATGCTTATAGATGCATAGCAATTCCTGATTCCGCTCCCCATACTCTTACCAGCACCAATTGCTTATCAAATGCAGTCTTAGCATTGAAGTGTCAGCCAGGATTTGCAGAGGCTATTTGGGATGGTAGTTTAGGAGGAACATTTATCAGGCTGTGGATTAGCCGAATCATGTGCTGAACCAAATTATTATTGTCGGTGATTAAACCACAAAGTGGTTATTGCCCTGTGTCGTGTAAAGCGCAGGATAGCTCAGATCTTTAAAATCCACTCTTAAGGTGGCTACAGGAGCTACCTAACTGCGGACTTCTAGACTTTGTCGCCAGGCAGGAGTGAGGAGTCACTGTCGCTCCCAGCTCCGGCGTGTCGGGGCGCTTGAGTGTCGGAGCAGGCAAAGAGCTGCCTTGTCCCCCTCGTCCTCCTCTCTGGCCTATTTTTTCTTGCCGCTCTCAAGCAAAGGGTTTTCTAAAAGGCTCAGCCCAGCCTTCCTGCTGGTTGCAGCTCCATCCGCGGCCTGGCTTGCTTGCAGCCCTCCTGGGAGGCCACGCGAGCTCCCCACATCCAGTGGGGCCCGCGTGGCTCCGTGGGGGCCTCCCGCAGCGCAGGGAAACGCTGAGCGGGTGTCCTCAGCGCTCGCCCGCTCCGTGCTCCGGCCACGCTCCAGAGCGGGCCTCATCCTCCGCGGGGACACTGGGACGCGGGGCAGGCGGAGGCCGGCCCCACCTGCCGTTTTTTTATTTTATTTTTTCTCCTCTCTTTCACTCTCTCTTTGCAACTGAGCTGACAGAGTGGAGGCCGCGGCTCCTCGTGGTCCCTGTGGTCTGGATGCTGTGTGGGGACTGTGCTCCCAACGCAGGCGGCATCACTGGTGTCTGAACAACTCCGTTTATTTGCAGATGCCCCCTTGGTTTGCCTCACCCTTCTCGAGTTCATTAAGCCGCCTTGGGCTAACGCCATTGCTGTTCACAGCCTGAGCCGCGTGCCAGAGGTTTGCAGAGGCTGCGCTGCTCCCTGGGCAGCAGGCCCCCTCTCTCATGCAAGCAGGTGGCTCCTAACAGGCAAGGAGGCCCAAAATGACTCTACCATCGGGAAAAAAAAAAAAGGTTGGATTTATGACTAACAGCTCAGGCAGGACAGATAACACGCTGCGAAACGCCATCCCCACAACACCCCAGGTGAGGTAGAGGGAGGCCGTCTCACAGCTGCGGGGGAGATGAGGCCCCGTGCAGCTTTAATGTGTTAGTTGGTCAAGGTGAACCCTGGGCTGAAGTCCCAGAGCAAACGCTCAGGATCGTGCAAACATGTTAACCACCTCATGTTAATTGGCAAGCAATTACCTTGAAGTAAAAATAGCTTCAGTGCAGCTGAGCAGTCACCAAGTGCCTGTCCCCCGGCGAACACTCACAGCACACGATAAAACTCCCTGCGAAGGAGCCCTCTGTGCTTTGCACTTTGGAAGCTGTTTGTCAGTGTATATATATGTATGTAGATGTACATATATATATAGCTTAAGGCCAGGCGGGCAGGCTAGAATGTTCTTTACTGATCTGGCGGATTTTGAATCTTTCTGATATGTTGCATGCTAAACATGCATGGCTGGACTGCATTGCCTTAGATGCGTGTGTAGAAGAGACCCAAGAAGCAAAATGCTGCCAGTTCCCAGACTGCTCCGTGGGCCTGCCAAGCACAGGACTGTCATCTCTGTTTGGCCTGCTAGCATCTAGCTATTGGGATATGCTGTGAAAGTCAACAGTTTCTTCTCTGTGCAAACCCATCAGCCTTGTGACCTTCTCTGAGAGCTTGACTTGAGTCCTTTCTTGATCCTTCTCAAGCGTTTTGCCCCCAGATGCTCGTATCTCTGTCTATAACGAAACCACAGCCAGGTTTCTTTCTTGGGAGAGCTGGGCATGCAAGCACGAGCCAGGTCTCACCTTGAGCTCCTGTGGCCCTGGAGCAAGTGGTGGCCCAGATGGCCCAGGATGTGGCTCAAAGTGGTTCTGACCAAAGAGCTGCCATAAGCGCCGCGGTGTTACAAGACCGTGGGCCGGGTGCTATATTGCAGTCTTCACCTGATCCTGGGCATCCCTGGTCCCAGGAAATGCAGCCCTGTGCGAAGAAGGAGGGCTCTGGCATCCAGACGGGGTTTACCTTGTGTCCCTGTGAACATTGCAGGGTGGCGGAGAGTGAGTCCATGGAAAGCCTTCTCTGGCAAAGCGAGGGAGAGGCAGATGGAAAGCAAAACCAACACCGCGCGTTTGGCAGCAGCGCCAGCTCGGCAGGCGCAGCCGCCGCGGCAGTGGCCTCTCGGATTGCTTCTCCCTGCGCAGCTAGTCTTGGAAACGCTGGCACTGTGGTCAAAAAGGGCCTCCAGCCGTCGGTTGGCTCCTGTGGCAGTGTGGCCTCTGGTCGCTTCAGATGCTTCAAGCAAGAGAGGCTGCAATACGTGCAGGTACCAGAGCTTTCCAGGAAGCGCTCGGGTACAGCTGCAGCTCTGTTCACTCTTCAGAATTCGTTTTCTGTGACTATAGTGGCAGACAAATTTGCTGGCAAATATTTTCCAAAAAAAAAAAAAAAAAGGCAACGATCCAGCAAAGCATGGTGCACAAACTAAGCTTAGTATAAATGACTACACCTGTGCTTAATATTCGGCACGTGACAAATGCTCTGCTACATCGTAGCCAAAGTAAATTTAAAAGAAATATCAGAACATAGTCATGGAAAATGAATGCTGGTCTTGTGAGCGTAAACACATGCAGCAGAAATAGGAGTCTAGCACTCCGTGTGTCCGACAGAGATGTCCTGCAGGGAAGCGCCACGGGATCACTGTGCACGTCTTGTGCTCAGCAGCAAAGCTGGCAAAAACAGGTTTTGGTCTGAGTGATCTACGACCCATTGGAGGCGGCGTCATGCGTGACCGCAGCCCAAGGTCCCAGCGGCATCACAAGGCTCACGTGAGCAGGGGCGAGGGGAGCCCTGTGGCGCCGGCGCGCGCGGCCGCCCAGGCGCTGCATGGAGCGCCGTGGTGAAGGAGTCATCACAAGTTTTGAGGTGAAGGGAAAACAAAACGAGATCCTCGTGGCATTTCATTTGCTGTCTTATCTCGGGCAGCAGAGGGGACTGGGCTAACCCAGATCGTGTTATAACGGATCCTGTAGCTGCTTCCATCCTTCCAGTAGCCTTCCAAGAGCCGCCTTGGTCGTTTCTAAACCGTGTTGCTGTAGGCAGCCTGGTGGTGAGGGCAGAGCCCTACGCAGATGAAAGGCCCCAGCTTTCCCTGGAGGAGGATAACTGTGTGTGCTTGATGCTTCCCTGGGCTTGCAAATTCTGCTGCACTAGCCTGCACATGGCTTGTGAATGCCGGGCTGCCCCGGGATTGCCCAGTGCTGGGAAATACAGGGTCAGCTCAGGCTTTTGCTTTTTCCTGGTGCAGCCAACTAACCAGACAGTCTGAGGCTACAGCAACTTTCACATGCTTGAGCCTTTAGCAAATACAAAGCCCAGGCCATGTGTGTGGCGCAGGTCTTGGCTGCTGAACGTGTTGCTGGTGGAATTCTGTGAAGAGCCAGAGTTTTCTTTCACTGGGAATTAGCACTAAAGGTGCGGAGCCATTGACAGCCCAGGAGCCTGAAGGAAATGCACGGCAGTTCCTCCTATGTCTGTCTCAAAGCAGCCGAGCGCACGTGTCTACGGGTGCCTGTTGCAAAACCTCAGGCATGTGACCTAACCGCATCCTCCCCTGCGCCAAGGTGGAAGGCAGAGGAGCCCTGGTGCAGAGCACCGCCAGGTCCAGGACCTGTGCCCCGCGTCTGGGGCCTCGAGGCAGGTCGGGCTGCCGGCCGCAGCGGTGCCGCTCCTCCTCTCAGGCACCCTCCCGTCTTGCTCTCTTACACTCTGCACGCAGGAGCCCGTGCCCCTGAGCAATGGAGACAGCTCGGCCTCATGCAGCACCCTCCTGACTCGCACCATCTATTTATAGTGGGTTTGATACGATTGCGTTCATAGCCCGAGTTCCCAAAGAGCGAGCCGCTCGCTTCATGCTCAGGCCATGGCCGCGGGGCTGGGCCTGAGCTCGGCCACCCGCGTAGCCGCACGAACCCTCAGCTGCTCCCAGGACCCGGGATTGTCCGACTCCCGCTCGCCCGGTCCTCCCGGGCGACATTGCCACAAGGAGAGCCCAAACAGCTGGAGGGCAGCCAGGCCGAAGAGACGTGTGCGGGGGGGATGCGTGTCCCTGCCGTCGTTCGGAAGCGAAGCGCGGGCAGCACCGGGGTTTCCTGGTGTCCTGGAGCAGCCTCCCGGGCGCTGGCACCGCGGCCCTGGTGCGCGGGGTGGTGGAACCAGCGCACTGCGCTTGCTGCTGGCCCTGCCGGGAGAGAAAGTCCTGCATACAAAGGGCGGCGGGCAAACACCTTCTGAATGTGTTGTCTCTGAAATCCACGCACTGTGCATCGTCTGCCGCGTGGAAACCCTTCCGGGCTTCCATTCTCTAGGCTCAGGCCAGCAGCATCGGATAGGTCCCCCCTGCTAACGAGACTATTTTTCTGCTACCCTTGCAGGAGAAGAATTTGGACTGGTTCCCTCGGATGCGAGCCATGTCCCTGGTTAGCAATGAAGGTGACAGTGAGCAAAATGAAATTAGGAACCTGCAGGAGAGACTGGAGTCCACCATGAGCCTGGTGAAGCAGCTCTCCGGTCAGCTCGCCGAGCTCAAGGAGCAGGTGAGCACCCTTGCGCTGGGCAGCAGCCTGGGCACACGTGGGGTGGATGCTCCAGCTTTTTTTGTAATATTTGGATGTTTTCCTCACTAACAGTGTTGCAGCACTGTTGCAAATAATACAATTTATCCAGCCTGTTGCTTTGCTTGTGCCACTCGTGTCTTTGTGTCCCTCCCTCGGCTCCCGCTTCTCCTGCTTCTCTTGCCTATGGTGCGTGAGCTCCTGGCTTCCCTGGAAGCCCTGCTTTTGCCTGAGCCACTCTTTCTCTCATTTCCAGGGCAAAACTCCCCTTTCTTTTCTGCCAAAGACATCTGTCCCCCTCAGCACGTGTGGTGCAGCCCCACAAACTCATCTGTGTGTTTTTTTCCGTGGGAAGCACTTCCCGTGACATTAGCAGAGCTACCTGATTATCCCCCTTCCAATCTCTTCTTAAAACTCCTCTTCCCCTTGGAAAGCTTGGCAAAGGCTTGGGCTGGGTGCGCTGAGGCTGTTGCTGTTGTGTGTATTCATCCTGTCCTGCTATTTCTTTCACCCTCCTCTGGCTGAATCTGCTTGTTCTCTCCCGGCTTAAATTTAAGCTCCCTGGGACCGCTTTTTAATTCTGTGATTGTACAGCACCAAGGGCAAATCCAGACCCTCTGCTGGACTCTGCAGTGCAGTGGCAACCCAAAGAATACCCTATAAAACCCGTCACTGGAAAAGAACAAATGGGAATAAAATGTCCACGCTTTGCAGGAGGCAGATCTTTCTCTTCAAAGGAATCTCTTACTCCTAATTTTAAATGCTGGGGGAAAAAAAAGAAAAAAAGAATTCTACTCCCTGTTGTTTTGTTTATATGCGTCTTGCTCTGCAACTGCTAAATAATAGTAAAAAAGTGGGGAAGAAATAAAAGAATCTCAACTTATCTCTCTGCCTTTCCACCTTAGATGACAGAACAAAGGAAGAATAAGCAGAGACTGGGCTTCCTCGGATCAAACACACCCCATGTGAATCATCACATGCCACCACCCTGATACCATGGGGAGAAGCGTGACTAGCCTTTCATCAGTATTCCTGCCTTACTGTAGAATAAAGAGCTGAGATTGAGAGGAGCGAACAGTGCCTATTGTTGCAAAGTTACAAACAACCCAGCGCCAAGACGCCGAGGGGTTCAGCTCCGGGAACAATTCGTCGCTGTTTTCCCGGGCTTGGAAGGGACCCCAACCTCGAAGGCGAGAGATGCAAGGGAGCGGGTTCGCCGTCCCCGGTGCGGCCGGGCGCCGCGAGGCGCCGCGCCATCATTTCTCTGCGAAGCAGCGGCCCAGCCCTGGCGAGCAGGAGCAGGAGAGGAGCTTGTTAGCGCAAACGCACCCGGTTCGCGATCAGTAGAGGGTATTTCTTGTCTTATTTGCCAAATAGCGATGTTAGTCATATCTGCTCAGCGTTCAGCGATCTTTAATTACCGTAAATGTGTCGGGGGGGAAAGCGAAAATGTTGCTTTAACTTCTAGTAGGAGGGAAAGGGAAGAAAACCACAAAAAGAAGAAAAAAAAAAAAAGAAAGAGTTGTAAAGGGGAACATTAACATTTTTGAATTTTAGCTGTCACCGTGCAATTCCTTGTTTGTAACACGGAGCACAATGGATCTGCAGCTGTGGGAGTGTGAGGCGTGAAACACTGACAACATAACTGGAAGTGATTTCTTTCTCCTGGGTTCAGATGTTCTCCATTAACGTGGCCATGAGATTTCACATGCTGAAGAGTTAAACTGTGTTTTAAATTCAGGTTCCAGTGGAGGATTTGGGGGGGGAAAAAAAATTACACCTGTAGTTTGAGGCGTGCACAGGAAATCTTTTTTGTTTCTTGTAAAAAGCTTAGATGGAGCTGTAATGGTGTCATTACCTTCCATAAACACCCCTTCAGCAAGAGCTGCCTCAGTAAATAAGCACCCTGTTCTGCCAGCTTTCTTCTGAGCAAAAGGGCCCGGGATCAGCCGGGCACTTCCTTCCCACATCCAGGGCCTCGTGGCACTGGCCGCTCCGGCACGGCCCGTGCGGCTGCGCAGGGACAGGGAGAGGGGCAGCCCCCTGCCCTTGCTGGCCTCCTGCAAAGGCAGCATCCGAGGCACCTGGGCAGGTTTCTGCTCTGTGCTGTGTTTTCTGGGATGGGTTTCTGGGTTTGATGGAGCCCAAGAGACTTCCAGGGTTGTGGGGGCACAAATGGGGATTGTGGTCCCAGTTCGCTTTCCTTTTCAGTGGAATTTGGGCACCTGTTTATCCTTGGTAGCGGTGAAAATGTCTGCAGTAAGGGGAGGGTTTAAGTAACAGTGCAGTCACTTTCTAAAGCAAAATATTTTTGCAATGATTTCCCCCTATGACATTCTCATTTTGTTAGAAAGGCCATTTTGATCTAAGGTGAAAATGTTACTTATCCCAGTATTTCTAATATATCCCTAAAGAAACTCTGTCTTAGTATTCTGGCACGATTCAGACCAACAGACCTAGACTAAAGGGAAAGGAGGGACATATCCCTCCCTTCATCCCAAATTCAAACCTGTTCTTAAAGCCATTGCTTTTGGATGTCAGCCATCTAGAAGATATGAAAATAATAAACTTTGGAGTCAGATTGTTCTACCATTAGAACACTTCCCTTTGGAGACAGTTGGATCCCTCAGAAATACAGTGTGGGAAACAGGGTTTTGTGTATTTTATGAAAAGAAAGCCTCTATCTAAGCTGAGCATGCTGTTGACTTTCCTTTAACCCCTGCATCATGGTTGTGCATCATGGTTGTGAGAGGTGACAGCTATTCCCGGCTTCAGCTTTCCCTATAAGAAGTTCTCCAAGAAACTTTGATCCAGCCAACGCTCTGGGTTCACATGTGAAGGTGAAAAGGAACCGACTGGCACCAGCGATGGCAAAAAGGCCGTAAATGGGGGCTGTGGGAGACTAAATCACCTCCTGCCCCTCTTCTGCTGGTGCCCTGCTCTGAGCCCCACCGGCTTCGGTTGGTGCACAGGAAGGAGGAGTCCAACAGCAGTTGGGCTTGAGCTGATCTAGGCCGCACTTGGGGATCCAAGTTGTTACATTTTCCATTCAGTGTATTATCTGATCTTCTTGGAGAGAAGGGATAAATGCAGCTGTGGCCCGAGGAGCTGACGGTAGGAAATCCAGGCAAGAAAAGAGCTTGCAGCAGAACACAGAGCAGTGGTTGTCTTCAAAGAGCGACCGAGATCTATTAGGAATAAGTGTTGGATCCTGCCCTGCTTTCAGGCTGGCTGGTGGAAACCCCCGCAGGAAGGATTGGCTCTCCGAGAGGAAGGGCCTTCGTGTCCCCGTTAGTGTCGAGCACAGGGAGCCCCGCAGTGAATTTGTGCCGAGCGTTTGCATCAGTCACGTGCCAGGCAGCAACCAACCCCTGGTGTAAAAATCAGGCCACGTTTGCCCCTCTGACTAGACCTACTGTAAATCATGAAGGCCAAAGGCTTCCATGCAAACACAGAACTGTCCGAAGTTTGTAGAAAAGCGGACCCTGCATCTGCGTTAATTCAAATCAGTTTGTGCAGTTCATCCAGTCTAGTCCCAGCCTCTGTTTTAAGGACCATTTCCTCCTCCTCCAGTGTGGTTATTGGAAGTATAAGGCACAGTTTACTGGAACAAAGACATTAAACAAAGACATTAAACATTAAACATTAAATGATCGCTATTTATTAGGGGGTGGGAGTTGGCTGATACTGGAAGCAGTTGGCACTTTCGTCATTTACACGTGGAAAATCAGCCGGAGCTCTGGGCGTAAAGGGAGGTTTGTGCCGCTGGAGAACCGGAGGCTCCACGTGCGCCGAGATCCGGCGCCATCCCACGTCCCCACAGACACCTGCTCCCAGGGGAGAGCTGGAACGCCAAAAGTTAAGGAGCGAATAGACGCCGACGAGCACGTGCCACGGCGCCTTTCTGCTCTTCATCGCTTCGGAGAGGCCTCCGGAGCCGATAGGAGGAGGTGCTGCTGCCTGCGCAGGTTGTAAATGCGTTTCACTCGAGCGTCTGGGCCCTGGGCCTGTCCTGCAGCTCTCGTCCGTGTGAGCAGCCCATTCCCATGGCAAGTCCCATGACTTCCATGGGGGGCTTCTTGCGTGAATAACAGTTGCAGGGCCAGAGCCCAAGCCTTAAGGATTGTGAAATATCCCCATCAGTAAGTTTGTAACAAGGGGGGAAAAAATCATTGTTTTTTTAATACATACATTTATATGTATATCTTTGTTTAATGCAACTGGGGTATCCTCTTCTTAGGCAAGCATCATCTGCTATATTTACCTATTTATATGAAATGATTGCAAAGAAGTTAAAACATCTAAGAGCTTTTAATGCCTTAGAGGGATTTATAATTATAAGCTCATTGACAGTTAAAATCTACTTAAGTAAATATGTCCATTGCTGCTGAATGTAACTTTTAATAAAGTGTGTCATTTTATATACGTTTGCCTCGCTCCTCCTTAAGGCGTGTGCAAGTGCATGCTGCTGAATGGGAACCTTGGGGAAGCCCAGCTGGCTCCTCTTGCATGGGAGACGCCGCTGCTGGAATAACTGTGCTGTGGGTTCCCCTCGCTCCGAACGAAGGGCTCGAGGAGGAGGAACGGCCCAGACCCACCGTCCTCGTGGGCTGAAGGAGCTCGAGCGCAGGAAGTTTGTGGTCTCGGGGAAAAAAGGGATTGCTTTACCAGCCCGTGATGGGAGCTGCGAGCTACGGGCGTTTTTCCTTCTCTTGTGCTTATTACAGAAAATCAGTATTTATGAGGAAAAGACTGAGGTCTGTTTTTAGTGAGGAAAAAAAAATCGTGTTTACTAATTGGTAAGAAAAATGCTACTAAATATGACATACCATTATGTCCGGTTCCCGCTGATGTTTCTGTGCACTTGCTAGGCTAACCTGCACAATTTTTGAGAAGTGGCTTTCTTCCTTGCTGTATCCTATGGCACGGCTGGAAGTAGGGAGGAGCTGGCTTGCTGCTAGTTCTCCTCGATCTTTCTGCAGAAGGGATGTCCTTGGGGAAAATGTATCGCTCTATTTTCATACTGTAAACAGTCAACCTAAGACTACAGTTACACAGGGGAAAAAAAAAGAAAGAACAACCCCAAACCTAAAATTAAACTCCTGAGCACAAACAGGAGCTGTTTCCCATGCCGGGCTTCCTTAAACGTAGCGTCGAGGCTTGCATTTCGCACAGCGTGTTCCCCAAAGGCGGCTTGTGCATTCGGGAGGCGTTGGAGGGAGCACGTGTCTCCCTGGGCATCGGCCACGCGGCTGCCGCGGAAAAAAAAAGAAAGAACAACCCCAAACCTAAAATTAAACTCCTGAGCACAAACAGGAGCTGTTTCCCATGCCGGGCTTCCTTAAACGTAGCGTCGAGGCTTGCATTTCGCACAGCGTGTTCCCCAAAGGCGGCTTGTGCATTCGGGAGGCGTTGGAGGGAGCACGTGTCTCCCTGGGCATCGGCCACGCGGCTGCCGCGGAGCCGCTCCGGTGTGGCCTGAGAGGGAATTAGGCTCATTAGTTTCCCCAGCCGCTGCTGTTGTGACAAAAGCATCTGCAGGCGAGGATGTTTTCTTTGGAGAGAGCGCGCTTGTTTTCTAGGGGCGGCTGCCAAGTTTATTTTTAAGTCGAGAAAGCAGAGATTTAAGCCTGAAACCTTCTTGCTCTCCCCGCATGCCCGCAGGAGCCCTGACAGCGTGACTCCTGTTTGCAGGCACCGGGACTGAACGTCCTGTGTTTGCCCCCAAATCCTCCCAAACAGGCACGAAACAACTAAAGAGAAATTCAAGCTCCAGGAATTTTAAATGTGAAGGGTACCGCTATCATCAGTTCACACTTGCCTGCTCTATTTATACGCTGTGCTTTTTTAGTTTGAAGCAGGAAGTTGCAAGGCACACACAAATAGCCTTTATAACTTTGCAATTTCAAAGTTTTTTGTTGCTGCAAACAGCCAACAGTTACCTTTTCCTTTTTTGCTTTTCCTGCACATGAAGTTCCTCACTCGACCCCGCAGCCTTTCGCCCTGTCCCCTGCAGGCTGGGCCACCCGTGGGCGAGCTCAGGGACTCTGCAGCAGGGCTGAGCAGCCAAACCAATAATCTAAACCCACAGGAATAGCGTTGAACTGGCAGTTTTTTGTCCTTTCCACTTTAACAACTCTGTTTAAATG